GCCACGGGGGCACGGCAGGAGCGACGAACGCACGAGAACGCAGCGGAACGCACGGAGGGGAGCAGGCCCAGGAAGGGCATCCGCTCTCGATACCATGTTGAAATCTGAACTAGGAAGAAAAGAGGAGGCTAACAAAATTGAGAAGATGGATAATAGATAGAGAGTACACACAGATATACCTAAGTGTTGTACTCTCTAAGAGGCGACCCTATACAGTCTATACAAACATGACAAATACACATGTTTGACACACCCCCTGGACTGCATAGGGGAATGCCCTAAACAAACAGCTCAGGGCGGCACTACTAGTCCAACCTCTGAGACAAGGGTCTGAGAGACCAGTCAGAAGGAGTACAAACAAGGCAAGAACAAGAGCAGGGCGGCACTACTAGTCCAGCTACTGAGAGAGGACACAAGTCCAGTCTAAGTATACGTATAAAGGACAGTACAAAGTCAAGGTCCTAGCAAGTGAGAGGCTACAGGAACTAGACCAAGCTGTACACAGTGCCGCTGATGATCTTTAGGCGCAAGCGCCTTCGTAAAGATATCAGCCGTATTGGCACCTGAGGCCAAGTGTACTACGCGAGCCTGACGTCGCTGCTGTAGCTCACGCAGGAGGAAGTACCGCAGCTGAATGTGCTTCGCTCTGCCCTCGAGTCGAGGCTCCTGACACAGGAGGATCATGGCCCTGTTGTCAGCGAACAGGACCGGATCAGGACCCTCTTAGCGGCAGACCAGTGCTGCGGTCGGTGCCTGCCTGTGGCCACAAAACGAGCCAGGATGCTGAGAGGGTATGCGAGATCTGGGCGAGTGCAAGTCATCAGGTACATGAGGCAACCCACCAGCTCTGCGTAGGGGCCGCTGGGCTCTACCAACTCCTCAGACACTGGAGCGGAGAGTCTGTGGTCTACAGGCAGAGGGGTGGGCTGTGCAGAGGAGAACTGAAGGCTGAACCTCTGAAGGACCTGGCGCACCAAGTGTGACTGAGTCAGGGTGATGGTGCACGCAGCTCTGTCCCTGGAGATCTGCAAGCCAAGGTAACGGCGCAGTTCTCCAAGGTCAGTGCACATGTGTCTCTTCAGCAGCTCTGCCTTCACGGAGGCCAGTGCGTCCCTGTCAGCTGTGGCAAAGACCAGGTCGTCGACGTAAACAAGGATGTAGAACGGAGTCTGGCCAGCACGAACGAAGAGTGAAGGGTCTGCGGAAGACGGAAAGAACTGCAGGTCAGCAAGCGTAGCACGGAGAGTGTCGTGCCACTCACGGGGAGCCTGGCGCAGGCCGTAGACGGGGCGCCGCAGGAGCCACTGGGTCCCAGGAGGGAAGGTGCCAGTGAAGCCCTGAGGGCGCCGCAGGTAGACCTGCTCATGTAGGCTGCCCTGAAGGAAGGCAGTGGAGAAGTCGAGGGAGTGAAGCTCGTAGTCACGCTGAGCAGCTAGGTGTAACAGAACCCGAAGAGTAGTCATCTTCGGGGTCGGAGCGAAGGTCTGGAAGAAGTCCACCCCCTCGCGCTGACTGAAGCCTCTAGCCACATAGCGCGCCTTGAAGACAGGCGGCTCTCCAGGAGGGCGCTTCACCTTGAAGAGCCAGCGGCCATCGACTACGTTCACCCCAGGTGGGGGAACTGCGTCGACGAAGGTGCCGGTGGATCTCCAAGATGCCATCTCCTGCTCCATGGCAGCTATCCACTGCGAGGCCCAGGGTCCCGAAGTCGCCTCAGCGTAAGTGCGAGGGGTCGGGATGTCGAAAGCGTCTGGGTCACCCTCAGGGACTAGCAGCATGGAACAGAGATGGGGAGCAGCCTTGGAGAGGAAAGCAAGCTCGAACTGGCGGTCCTCCAGGACGTCACTGCCAAGGGCAGGAGCACCCCCGACAGACGGAGGACAGGCAGGGTCAGAGACCAGAGCGGAGGCGTAGTCAAGGCGGCGAGTAGAGGCGAAGTCAGCGACCGCAGCGACAAGAGCGTCAAGGCACGAGACCGGAACAGACGGGTCGGTAACGAGAGAGGCAAGGACCCGAGGAACAAGGGGACGAGCGGCACGAAGGTAGTCAGACAGCGGGGGGGGTGCAACAACAAGAGAGGACGGAGGAGGCGACGGCAGAAGGGGAGGACGAGACGGAAGGGAACGAAGCAATATAGGGTGGGAGTGCAAGACAGGCGAGGCAGGACGAGCGCGGGAGGGACGGTGAGACCAGACGTGCGACGGAGGAGTCGGGTCAGGAGACAGAGGAGGGGACACAGGAGGGGAACGAGGGGGGAGACGGGCCGGGGACGAGTCCGGCGGAGGGAAGACAGGGCCGTAGACAGGAAGAGGAGGAGACGGTCGGGGAGGAACCGACGCAGGGTCGGGGGACGGAAGGCTGAGCAGGCGAAGGGCTGACACCGGCGGGGACTGCTGCTGCGGCGGCACAACGGCGACACGGGGACCGCAAGCTGCTCCGCGGCTACCACCGGCACTCTCCACACCAGCACCCCCAGAGGGACCACCCCCAGGGCTACCGAGACGAGCACCCCCAGAGTCAACGAACGGGTGCTGCGACGGCGGCGGCGGCGGCGGCGGCGGCGGCGGCAGCGACAACGACGGCTGCAGCGGCGGCAGAGGCGGTGGAGGGGGGGACTGGGGAGGGGACGCTAGGGGAGGGGCGGCCGGCGAGGACTGAACAGGAGGGCCACCAGAGTCAGAAGACTCCTCAACCGGGTCCACCGACGGAAGGGGGGTGACGTGGGACACACCAGAGGGGGCGGGACGGGGAGGAGGAGGAGGAGGGGCAGGGACTACCGGGGAAGGAGTGACCAGGAACAAGGGGGGGGTAACCGGGGGACCACGGTGGGGGAAGCGACGGTAGTAGGAGGCGGATTCGTCAAAGGTGAGCGGAAAGCGGCTCACCATCCTGCCGCTGGCCAGTGAGTTGGCGACGAAGGTCGGCAAGCCACGCCTCGAACTCCAGAGGCTGGCCTTCAGCGTCGAAGCGAAGCTCCGCCGCCATCAGGAACAGTGCAGTGCGGTGCAGGGCAGTGCAGCAAGGTGGAGTGCGGTGCCGTGCGGTACAGTGCGATGCAGTGCGGTGGAGGGTGGTGCAGTGCGGTGCCAGGCAGGACAGGGTGGTGCGGGGCGGTGCAGTGCGGGGCAGTACGGTGCAGGGCAGTGCAGGGCAGGGGGGGGGGAGAAACCGTACCAGTGAGGAGGACCGGGGCCAGGGCAGGGACGAGCGCAGGGGCCGGGCCGGTGCAACGGGGCCGGGCGGGCGCGACGCGGCCGGGCTGGTGCGACGGGGCCGGGCGGGTGCGTCGGGGCCGGGCTGGTGCGACGGTGCCGGGCCGGTGCGACGGGGCCGGGCGAGCACGACGGTGGCCCAGGAGGGGCGCACCGGGGCTGGGCGGGCGCGACGGGGCCGGGCGGCTGCGACGGGGCCGGGCGGCTACAACGGGGCCGGACGGGTGCGACGGGGCCGGACGGGTGCGACGGGGCCGGGCGGCTGCGACGGGGCCAGGCGGCTGCGACGGGGCCGGGCAGGGGGCGACGGGGCCGGGCGAGTGCAACGGGGCCGGGCGGGCGTGACGGGGCCGGGCTGGTGCGACGGGGCCGGGCTGGTGCGACGAGGCCGGGCTGGGGCGACGGGGCCGGGCGAGCGCGACGGGGCCTGAAGGCGTGACGCGGCCCAGGAGGGGCGCTACGAGGCCCAGGAGGGGCACGCCGGGGGCCCAGGAGGGGCGCTACGAGGCCCAGGAGGGGCGCTACAGGGCCTAGGAGGGGCGCTACGAAGCCCAGGAGGGGCGCGACGGGGCCCAGGAGGGGCGCTACGAGGCCCAGGAGGGGCGCGACGGGGCCCAGGAGGGGCGCTACGAAGCCCAGGAGGGGCGCGACGGGGCCTGGGAGGGGCGCTACAGGGCCCAGGAAGGGCGCGACGGGGCCCAGGAGGGGCGCTACGGGGCCTAGGAGGGGCGCGACGGGGCCCAGGAGGGGCGCTACGGGGCCCAGGAGGGGCGCGACGGGGCCCAGGAGGGGCGCTACGGAGCCCAGGAGGGGCGCGACGAGGCCCAGGAGGGGCGCTACAGGGCCTAGGAGGGGCGCGACGTGGCCTGGGAGGGGCGCGACAGGGCCCAGTGAGGGGTGCGACGGGGCCCAGGAGGGGCGCTAGAGGGGTGAGCGGAAGCGGTAGGTGGGGGGGGGGGGATCCTACCTACGCGTGATACCATAACAAAATTGAGAAGATGGATAATAGATAGAGAGTACACACAGATGTACTCGTGATACCATAACAAAATTGAGAAGTGTTGTACTCTCTAAGAGGCGACCCTATACAGTCTATACAAACATGACAAATACACATGTTTGACAGAGGCCGCCATGAAATGGCGGCCAAGGGTTTAGCTAGGAGAGTATGCGAGAGTGTCGACAGAAAAAAGAAATAGATTAGGAAGTGAGAGAGTACATGGAGGGGTTTGTACCCTCTACAGTAAGGTTCGGTAACCTACCAAGCATAACAATTATATAAAATATAATTTGAACAACCCCGAGCAAGTATCGGACCCTGATTTTGGCAAAGGGCCAATCAGCGCTCTCACACCACATGCCTGCAGAAAACGTTGCCAGACGAAAGAATACGCGCCGGCTGCAGACTCATACGAAATATTACACGCAGTCTTAAATTTCATACGAAAATAAAACATTGCTCTTAACGATCAGACGAATTTTTCAGGGTTGTCTAAACTTTTAGATAAACCCAAAAATCAGGTCTGAAAATCAGACCATCAGACCAATTTCGTCTGATTAAAAGGACCCTGCCCTTAGCATCAGTGCACCTTGTATACCTCAGTGTAGTCATTCATTCACAATTGTCTCCTACACTTGATCTTCCCCCTCTTCTCCCCCCTCGTTTAGTTTTCACCCATTTTAGGCCATTTTGCCATTTGGGAGTATATCGGAGTGTTATGTGGCTTATTACGCGACTGTGTTGCGTGATGTGACAACGTTCGTCAGTGATGAAAGGTTATCAGTGTTCATAGGTTTCCCGAGTAGCGTTTATACCATTAACATGGCATGCCCTAAAAAACATGGCAAGCACCAAGCACCTCTACTTATTGACCAACAGCCCCATAACTAGATCTCAGCCAGCACTTATACACTTCATCCGAACATCACGAAAACAGCTGCCAAAATCAGCCCAACGAGCGAGGGACGCACAGCTCCCGAGGCCTTGGGAACAGACGGGGAGGGTGGGAGAGTGAAAATCGTCTTGGGGGTCTTGGTGTCGTTCATGCACTGATCGGTGCTAATGTTGCGGTAAAGCAGATCAGTGTACTTGGTGAGATCGACGGTGCCGACGGGGCACTGAGATGGGTCCAGCGGGAACGAATCGCAGCACAGCGTCGTCTTGGGGATTTGGGCGGGAGTAGGACCAGCGAAGCACTTCGCCTGGGAGCGAGAGGGAAGGACAAGGAGAGAAGGACGGAAGGAGAGAAGAGTCAGAAAGGGGCACTGCGAGGGGTCCAGCTACGAACGGGTCACACAGAGTGAGACGAGAGAAAGGAACAGAGTGAAGGAGGCGATGGATCATGGGAGAAAAGGCGAGAGATATGCATCATTCACGGGCCCTTAACCTAGGGTTAACAGAGGGAAGGAGACGGTGCTGGAAGCGCAAGTAGCTGAACTTCGGAAAAAATAATGACGAACATCCCGCTGCCGGAGCCGGACAGCACAACGCCGAAGAAAGAACATTCGCGAAGATTTAACAGGTTACATTCGCAATGAGCATTCGCAACGAGGATTACATCGGTGACATTCGCGACGAGGGCCCTGAAGGAGATGATCCCGAACATGCCGGCGCCGGCGCCAGACATGGTCAAGCTGCCGAACGTGATAGCGTCGGTGACATTGTTGATGGTTCCAACTGCACGTTCACATGCAAAGAGAAGGGAACAAGGGAACAAGATGTGATAAGGTAGACTAGAGGTGACTCAAGATCGCTGCGATCTCCAGTCAGGACTCATCGAGCCGCCCAACGTGGTACTGTTGAGTGTGTCGACACCATGAGTGGATGCGGTAGATGAAATGTGTGAGGGAAGGAAGAAATCGAACATATTGCGAAAGGCTTTGAGCACACGGAATATGCGCACCTGTCCTTATCGATTACGCAAACAATCACAACCGTAGAGACTGACGAGTTCGGAAGACATCGGGGGAACATTTGGCGAACGTTGGACGAAGATTGGCGAAGACTCACATCGCGAGTCCTTGCAGGCGGCATAAAGGTCGTCGGCGAACTTGGGGCAGATGGTGATCGTGGGGCCGTCCTTGTCCTTGATCACGTAGTTACCCGAATCTGTTACAAATGGGAGGTTCGGAGAAACTCGTTTAATCCAACTGAGAAGCTTTGGTCCTGAAGCTTGTTGGGGTCAGTTGGTAATCGCGGAGTCGTCGTTTGCATTACTGGGCTTTCGCGACGTAGTTGCTCGGATCTGCGAGACAACCTCAAATTTTGCAACAGATAAAAATCCCATAAGTCAAGATCGGAACTACAGCGTATCAATCTTCAGCTGGGAGTACAGGTGAGAATCATTAGGCGTGGCCCCATGACTGCGCGATTACGAGGATTACAGGTGGTTACCAGCGTTGCAAAGTGGTTACCAGGGATGCATGTGGTTACCAGGGTTGCACGTGGAGGCGCAGGCGATAGACTCCATCAGCAGCTCGCACTGTTGGTAGCCCGAGAGAAGATCGCACGTCTGACAGGCGAATGAAGCAAAAGAAAAGGAAAACACATTCGTAAATTTCTGGACGGAAGGACGGCAAACGGAATGCCGATTGGGAAGTCAGACACATTAAGTCAACTCTTATATTAGAGGGTCTTAGGGAACGGGGTACTTGAACGACTGTAAAAAGGGTTCAGTAAACGCGAAAAGCAGTCATGTTGACAGACTTGAGATGTCTCAAAGCTAGGCTGCCTGAGTTCACTGGGATGGAGCCAGAGGCATGGGATGGAGAGCCAGAAGCACATCTGTGACAAAAAGAAGTGGCGCCTGCACGACCACCACCTCGGAACCGCATTGCGCAAACCCGACACCGTCCCGCACCGCATGGCATCGCATACCTTGGGAGGGCCGGAAGGGAAGACTCCGGTGGTGTTCCAAAGGCCGGTGAGGTAGGGGCCGGTGTTAGTCGCCTCGGTCGCCCTGGACGCGTTCCCCTTGATGAGCCTGAGCCCGAGCTCGTAGTCGCCGCACGGCATGCAGCAACTCATTTTGGCCGCCGCCAAGCACCGGTAGGGGGGCACCATCGTCTCACTTGGCGGGGAGCCGGTCAGCGGGCACGCGGGGTACGTGGTCTGCGCGTGGATCGCGGGGAGCGCCAACGCCGCCGCCGCGACGAGGAGAAGGAGGACGGTCGAGCTGCTGAAGCCCGTTCTCGCCATTGTCGCTGAATCAGACGAACTAACGGTAGAGAAAGCGCCGCTGTTTCAACAGCGCAGAGAGGAAAGCAAACCCCTCGATTGGTAGATCGGAAATGGGGAGATGTCCTGTTTGTATGTTTTGTAGGGAAAGCACTGGGGTTGTACTACGTTATGTCGGGTCAGCAAGGCTAGCTTTACTGGCGCTGGGTGGCTGTGAGTGTGGTGGGCAATTTTTCACGTTCGTTCTCGGCTGTGCGATTGATGGCCAGATCGCGTCGCACGGTCGATGAAATTTGGCGGGGCGCTGATTCATTTGTGGGCCGAACAGGAGGGGGAATTTTATATTGATTCCTTCCATGATGTCGCGTCGCGGTGCCGTGACTAGGCCGACATGTTTCCAGATGGGAGTGTTTCAGTGGAGGGGCTTGGGGTTTGTGTGGTCTGGTGACTGCAGCCCAATCAAGCGACGCTGACTTGGCGAGCCGTGAATCTCTGCTCGCAGATGCAGTAGAAAGATGCTTTTGTGTGAGTTCCTCGGCGAATATTCCGCTAGTTATGCCTATCCTGATCTGCAAATTAGCGAAGTTCGTTACACTCCGTGCAAGACATGCAATGCCTATAGCGAACCCGAACAATCCTTCATATTGCACTCCTGTACAAACACCCATATTCGTTTACATGGATACACGTACGGCAGCTTTTAGGCAATCGGTGTGTAATAGATTCTGTTATGGTGTACGTTGTGAAATGTCTGTTTTCTCACGCGCAGTTGGACACAGAGCCGAAGCGCAGATGTGCGCGCGCCTTGCAGAAACCTACCTGCGAGTCGCTGGAATTTATCCCACTTGGCACGGATCACTGTGGTTGCTGACGTGTCTTTCTATAGTGTATGAGCTGTCCCAGTCATCCACCTCACCCCACCTGAGACCCCTTCACATCGCCCACACCCACCTGCCCAGCACAGCAAAAGCGGAAAACATTTTGACCGCAGGAATGGTAGTTGAGAAGTTTTCGCAGCCACAATTTCACACCAAAACTCCACATTTTCCAGTGACCCCACTGGACAGCCTGCCCACGAATGCCAGATGATCTGCCACGTCTGCGAAGTTCGAGAAACGCCCGCCAAAGGCGCACGGACGCATCAACAACAGAGCGGAACGGATTTTCCCCTCGGTTCTTTCACCCCCACGAGCGCAGAGGGGATGGGCTTTGCAGCGGTGAGTGTCACTTTCCCGATTCCCGAACCCAAGTGAGCAGACTCCCCCCGCCCAAATCCCCCCCTCCCTGCCAAACGCCCATCAACAGCCATTTTTTCCCCCGTTCACCCCGAGTCTTTCCCCCAAATCTGTGCCTTCTTCCCCCCTCCCCGCTCACTCCCCGCCACAGCAACCCCCCGACAGCACCTATAAATAGGGATTCCAGATTTGCGATCCTCATTTCTATTTTCATCGGTCCGCTGGAACGGATCTCCATCATCTCTTTTAGTGTAGCCTTCCAGCTTGCCTAGCTAGGACCCAGAGCGTTTCAAGACCTGCGGCACTCGCGACCAGCAACTCGCATTTTCTCAGGAAATCGTCGCGCAGCATCCGTCGTCTGCCAATCATGTCGTCCCTCGCGTCGCATTTCGCCCTGGCGGCCCAATCCCTTCCCGCCATTTCATCCGACGGCTTCCGCGCGAGGCAAGGCACGAGCAACGGCGCGCGCTGCCCGTCAGCAACCGTCGCGCAGCAGCGTCCGCTTGCGCCCGCAACCCCGCCGCGTTCGGCCTCCCGCTATAGTCACGCCCGCCGCGCGGACATCGCAGCGCCTCCGCACGTCATGGCGGCGTACGCGGAAAGCGCGGCGGACGGCACGCCGCGCTTGCCGAGCTCGTTTCAGGAGATCGAGAGCGAGGCGGAGCTCGACTGGATTCTCAAGGACGCCGCGGATTGCGGCGACCTCGTCCTCATTGACTGGTGCGCTCTTATTCCTTTTGTTAGGGTCCCTTATCCCTCCGTCCCGAATTGCCCCGGGGATGTGCGGTTAACAAATCCTCAAGGACGCCGCAGATTGCGGCGACCTTGTTCTTATCGACTGGTGCGCACCTAATCCTGTCGTTATTATCCGCTCCATGATACTGTAGTCCCGAATCCCCCGCGGATGTGCTGTTAACAATGCCGCAAGGATGCCGCGGATTGCGGCGACCTCGTGCCCATTGATTGGTGCGTTTCTGTAACCTGTTAGTTCTGCATCATCCAATCATATTCCAGATCATTGCTTGGAATCCTGGCACCGCGAATCTTGGGTACCAGCCCTCTGTGCTTAACGATTAATTCCGCCTCGAAACTACGTGTTGCCGGTTTTCTTGTTAATATTCATAACCTTCACTTACGAGATATTTAAACCCAATGCTCCTTCTCCTGCCAGGATGGCGCAGTGGTGCCGTAAGTGCATTTACTTAAAGCCCAAGATCGAGAAGCTCGTCCCCGAGTACCCCAAGTCAGTGACCCTGCCCGCCCTTTCTTTATACCACCCTTTCTCCACCACCCCTTCTCCACCACCCCTTCTCCACCACCCTTTCTCCACCACCCTTTCTCCACCACCCTTTCTACACCTCACTTTCTACACCCCCTTTCTATATACCACTCTCTTGGTTTTTATCTCCCAAATCCTCCATCTTTACTTCACTTAAAGCCGTCCCTGAGAACCCGAAGTCAGGGACCCTGCCCGCCCGAAGCCAGAACCAGTCTCTATTCCACCCTCTTGGTCTCTCTCTCTCGCTCTCTCTCGCTCTCTCTCGCTCTCTCTCGCTCTCTCTCTCTCTCTCTCTCTCTCTCTCTCTCTCTCTCTCTCTCTCTCTCTCTCTCTCTCTCTCTCTCTCTCTCTCTCTCTCTCTCTCTCTCTCTCTCTCTCTCTACTGGAACGTTTCCGCTATTCCTTGACTTTCTCACTCTCTTCCCGCCTCGTTATCTCCGTCCGCCCCACTAACGCCACGTCCCCTCCCCCTTCCCTTACCCGTCGCCCCTGCCATGTGCTCTCCCGCGTCTCCTGCCGTCTGCTCGTGCTGCTGCTGGCTTGCGATTGTGACTGCGATTGCCACTCGTGCTCGTGCGCTCGCCAACCATCGCTGCGAGGGGCGGCAGCAGGGTGCGGTTCTTCGTGGTGGACGTGAACAAGGTGCCCATGAAGATGGTGCAGCGGGGCGGCGTCACGGTAAGCGTTTTGTTCCTCGTGTGTATGAGCCTGTTGGCAGTTCCTGAATGAGTGTCAGTCGGCCATAAGAGCCTGCTTCTTCGTGGTGGACGTGAACAAGGTGCCAATGAAGATGGTGCAGCGGGGCGGCGTCACGGTACGCGCTATGCCTGTCTTGCTGCTGTTTGCCTGGTCCCATATGTGAATGAGCCCATTGTCACAAGTGCCCATCTGGTTCTTCGTGGTGGACGTGAGCAAGGTCCCGATGACGATGGTGCAGCGGGGGGGCGTCATGGTAAGAGGTTTGTTCATCGGGTGTATGAGCGTGTTGCTGTTGAGTGTTGGTCAGCCATACGTGCCTGCTCAGTTCTTCGTGGTGGACGTGAACAAGGTGCCGATGAAGATGGTGCAGCGGGGCGGAGTCACGGTAACTTATTTGCTTGCTGTCCCTCGTCGTCAAAATTTTAAATTTTACAAGAGTATCACAAAATTTGCTGTAACTGTTACAATCGCTTTACTCTGTTGCCCCCCTATATTTTCACGTTCTGCTTTGAAACAAAAGTTTCCCGCTTATGAGTTTCCCGCTTATGAGTTTCCCGCTTATGAGTTTCCCGCTTATGAGTTTCCCGCTTATGAGTTTCCCGCTTATGAGTTTCCCGCTTATGAGTTTCCCGCTTATGAGTTTCCCGCTTATGAGTTTCCCGCTTATGAGTTTCCCGCTTATGAGTTTCCCGCTTATGAGTTTCCCGCTTATGAGTTTCCCGCTTATGAGTTTCCCGATTATGAGTTTCCCGCTTATGAGTTTCCCGCTTATGAGTTTCCCGCTTATGAGTTTCCCGCTTATGAGTTTCCCGCTTATGAGTTTCCCGCTTATGAGTTTCCCGCTTATGAGTTTCCCGCTTATGAGTTTCCCGCTTATGAGTTTCCCGCTTATGAGTTTCCCGCTTATGAGTTTCCCGCTTATGAGTTTCCCGCTTATGAGTTTCCCGCTTATGAGTTTCCCGCTTATGAGTTTCCCGCTTATGAGTTTCCCGCTTATGAGTTTCCCGCTTATGAGTTTCCCGCTTATGAGTTTCCCGCTTATGAGTTTCCCGCTTATGAGTTTCCCGCTTATGAGTTTCCCGCTTATGAGGTTTCCCGCTTATGAGTTTCCCGCTTATGAGTTTCCCGCTTATGAGTTTCCCGCTTATGAGTTTCCCGCTTATGAGTTTCCCGCTTATGAGTTTCCCGCTTATGAGTTTCCCGCTTATGAGTTTCCCGCTTATGAGTTTCCCGCTTATGAGTTTCCCGCTTATGAGTTTCCCGCTTATGAGTTTCCCGCTTATGAGTTTCCCGCTTATGAGTTTCCCGCTTATGAGTTTCCCGCTTATGAGTTTCCCGCTTATGAGTTTCCCGCTTATGAGTTTCCCGCTTATGAGTTTCCCGCTTATGAGTTTCCCGCTTATGAGATGAGTTTCCCGCTTATGAGTTTCCCGCTTATGAGTTTCCCGCTTATGAGTTTCCCGCTTATGAGTTTCCCGCTTATGAGTTTCCCGCTTATGAGTTTCCCGCTTATGAGTTTCCCGCTTATGAGTTTCCCGCTTATGAGTTTCCTCCTTCCCACATGCCCCTCTCTTCCCACTCTTGCATGCTGATGGGGCGATTCTTGACTTGGCGACAGAAAATGCCGACGATTCAGGTAAGCTCCCTGCTCCAACAATATCGTTTGCTCCCTCCCTCTCGGTATTACACACACACGCACTCACACATGCACATGCACACACACTCAGTCACACTAGCACATCCACACACACGCTCACACACGCACACGCACTCACACTCACATGCACTCGCACTCACATGCACTCACACTCACATGCACACAACTCTACACAGACCCACACAATCACTCATACGCACAAGTTTTAGTCATTATACATGCATACACACTCGATCCCACACATGCATGCACACACACACCCCCTCACACTTCTAACACATACCAACACTCATTTCGCCTTAAGCACTTCATGTTGTAGGTGAGCATGTGTGACCTAGGGCGCACAGTGTTTCATGGTGTACTGCGAGCGTTCTCAAGATGCACTTCAACATCTTCACATGGCAACTGTGCGAGAGATTCAGGGTGGGCATAGGGGAGCATGAGCATCCTATCTCAACACCACCGAGTGATCACCTCGCCATCATCACCTCGCCATCATCACCTCGCCATCATCACCTCGCCATCATCACCTCGCCATCATCACCTCGCCATCGGCATCACACGCTTCTGAAGTGAAAGGAGGCGACTGTGTGCTATGTACACTCTCTAAACCCTCTTAGTGAATGAACAGCGCAAGCCAACCCATCTCCTGTGTGCCCTGCTCTGCTCTCTCTGCTATATCTGGAAGGAGAATGAGAAGGTGGAGGAGACAATACGCGGCGAGGCAGCATGGCTCGTGCTCGACAACATTCGTAGCGCCATAATCAGATGATAGCATGGTACCCAGATGTGAAGCACATCGATATGGTACAAGCGCTCCTCTGCCTCTGTCTTTCGGTGTGCTCTGCACTGCTGTGCCTTTGCATCTCCTGCAGATCTGGAAGGAAAACGAGAAGGTGGAGGAGACGATAGGCGGGGAGGCAGCATGGCTCGTGCTTGACAACATTCGCAGCGCCATCAAGCGCCAGGCATAGTTGCATGCAACCAGCACGGCTCATGGATGGCTGGCTTGATCCCTTCCGGCTGAATGCCTCCCTCGCATCCTGGCTTGAAGATAGGGATGATAGGGAGTCTCCAAAGGACAGATTAGCCTGCCTGCTCTTCAAATACAGCCTGTTTTTCCATGCAATAGAGTAGACTCGTTTCTGGTACTGTCTGTCTAGCCAACTCCTTTTTCCAGGCTTGGTTCATCCTCGACACTGTGTCTGAGTGCAGTGCGCTGTACAGCTGTTGGTGGTGTTTCATGCAGCATTTGTCAATATTGTTCCCGTACATTTCCTACTGCATGCTTGATAAGGAGGTGTAGTTGAACAACACGTCCATGCTTAACGGCGGAAGCTACCAAATGCACTGAACCTTACTCAGTCCTGTGGAAGCACACTCTGACCCGTTAGGATGTCAGGTGAGGTTGTTTTCTTACACATGATCCACGCTATAGGAGCGAGGGGGCATGTTTGTCAAACATAACTTATGTTGTTACTGTAGACTATACAGGTTTGTGCCTTAGAGGGTACAACACACTAGTCTATATTGCCCTGTATCTTCCTATTCTACTCATTCTCTCTTTCTAACATGGTATCATGAGTAGGTTAGGTTCCTCTCGCCCGCCCGCACTTCCGCCCTAGGCCCTAGCCGCCCTCGTGACCTGCCCCTAGCTGGCCCGCCCTGGTCGTCGCGTCCGCCCCTAGCCGCCCCCCCGCTGGCCGTCGCGCCCGCCCCTAGCTGGCCCCCTGGCCGTCGCGCCCGCCCCTAGCTGGCCCCCTGGCTGTCGCGTCCGCCCCTAGTCGGCCCCCTGGCCGTCGCGCCCGCCCCTAGCCGGCCCCCTGGCCGTCGCGTCCGCCCCTAGCCGCCCCCCTGGCCGTCGCGTCCGCCCCGAGCCGGTCCCCTGGCCGTCGCGTCCGCCCCTAGCCGGCCCCCCTGGCCGTCGCGCCCGCCCCTAGCTGGCCCCCTGGCCGTTGCGTCCGCCCCTAGCCAGCCCCCTGGCCGTCGCGTCCGCCCCTAGCCAGCCCCCTGGCCGTCGCGCCCGCTCCTAGCTGGCCCCCTGGCCGTCGCGCCCACTCCTAGCTGGCCCCCTGGCCGTCGCGCCCACTCCTGGCCGGCCCCCTGGCCGTCGCGTCCGCCCCTAGCCAGCCCCCCCTGGCCGTCGCGCCCGCCCCTAGCTGGCCCCCTGGCCGTCGCGTCCGCCCCTAGCCGCCCCCCTGGCCGTCGCGCCCGCCCCTAGCCGGCCCCCTGGCCGTTCGCGCCCGCCCCTAGCTGGCCCCCTGGCCGTCGCATCCGCCCCTAGCCGGCACCCTGGCCGTCGCGTCCGCCCCTAGCCGCCCCCCTGGCCGTCGCGCCCGCCCCTAGCCGGCCCCCTGGCCGTCGCGCACGCCCCTAGCTGGCCCTCTGGCCGTCGCGCCTGCTCCTAGCCGGCCCCCTGGCCGTTCGCACCCGCTCCTAGCTGGCCCCTCGCGCGCCTGTGGCGCCTGCTCCTGTTGGCCCCTCGCGCCCGTCCCTCGTCGGCCCCGCCCCCCTCTCCCCCTCCTAGCTGGCCCCGGATTCGCTACGCCGCTGGCCCGTCTCTGCCTCGTGCCCGGTTCGTCCTTCTCCGATCTGCACTGCCCTGCACCGCCCGAAGCCGCTCTCCACCACTTGGCACTGCACTCCACCGCCCGGCACCGCACTGCACCGCGCTGCACCGCCCTGCACCGCCCTATACCGCATTGCACCGCTCAGTACCGCACTGCACCACACTGCATGGCTCTGCATCGTTCCTGATGGCGGAGGTACTTCGTTCCTGAGGGTCAGCCGCTTGAGTTTGACGCGTGGCTGGTCGACCTCCGCTGCCATCTCACTGGTCAGCGGCAGGATGGCCACTCGCTGTTTGTCCACCTTGACGGTACGCTCCCCTGCCCTGACCCCCCTGCTGCACTGCCTGCTGACCCCTCGTCTGCTGAGCATGAGTCCGCTGCCGCTACTGCCCTTGCTCGCTCTGTCTGGCTGTCGCGTGACGCTGTTGCGCAGCTTGCTATCAGCCATGCCCTCCCACTCTCTGAGCGCCCTCACTTTAAGTCCGTCACGACTGCGCAGGCGTTCCTAGATGCTATTGTCCAGCGCTATTCCACCCCGCCTACTGCCTTCGTAGGTTGCCTGATCCTCCCGATGCTTTTCCCTGACCTTGCGTCTTTCCCCACTATCGCTGACCTTGCTGCCCACCTGCGCACGATAGACGCGACCTGCCTGCACTGAGACTCAGCTTAGAGCCCATCAGCCGCCCCTCTGCTCTGCCCTTTACCTGCTAGCCACCCGCCTCCCTGACCGTCTTGCCACTGCTCGCGATCGCTTCCTTAGCGTCCACCCCAGTGACCTCACCCTCACCGACTTTGTCGACACCCTGTCTGCCATAGAGACCCGCCACCGCTCTATCGCCCAGACTAGCGGTACTGTCCCGGTCCCCATCTTTCAAGGTTGTGCCTCTGCCCAGTGCACCTTCTCCGACGGTTCTGCTGCTGTGGCTGAGACTGCTGCTGCAGCGCAGCTCCGTCCGGGGAAGGGTCGCTGCCCCAAGGCTGGGCGCGGCGGAGGGGGTGGGGGTGCAAGTGTAGGTGGTAGTGGAATCGGGGCGCCTGGTGGTGGCGCAGACAAGGGGACTGTCCCTGGTGCCGCCGAGTAGCCGTCCCAGCACCTGCTGCCGTCGCAGCTGGACCAGCACCACTCGCAGCTGCAGCCCCCGCTCCAGCCGCAACAGACGCAGCAGCTGCAGCAGCAGAGGCGGGCGAGTGGTCTCCCGCCCGGCTGGCCTGGCGCTGGTGGCGGCGGTGGACGTGGTGGTGGACATGTGTGCGGTGTCCTCCCGGGTGGCAGTTCGGGTGATGGGCGCTGCCGGTACCAGCTCCTGACCGGTCCTTGCCGCGGCTCCGTTTGCGGTAAGACCGGTCACTCCCCTTCTCGCTGCTTCCGTCGCCTTGACAACCTGTTTCGTCTTCGCTTCGGCCCGTCACCCGACCTCCCGACTGGTTCAGCTTGCTTCGTCGTAGTCTTCCGATTTTTTATATGGACATGGATGAGCTAAGATCTGCCCTGTATGTGCTGTATGTTGATGACTCTAATGTGACTGGTTCTTACTATCCCGTGTTGCCTAGTGTAGGTGTGCCTAGTCTTGCCCCCCCTGCTGCGTCAGGCGTAGGACCTCCTGCCTTGTTTAGCCTAGGTTTCTCCGTCGCTGCTTCGACCTTGGCCGCCACTGCTGCGCTCACCTTCACCCTCGACTCTGGCGCTTCCCGGTGTTTCTTCGGCGACTCCACTACGCGGTCCCCGCTTGCTGCTCCTGCTGCGGTTTCCCTTGCTGGCCCCTCCTCTGGTCCGGTAGTCGCTCGTAGTTCTACCATCCTTCCCTGCCCGGCGGCTCCGTCGGGCTCGCTCACAGGCTTGCACGTCCCCTCGTTTTCCAGGAACCTAGTTGGTGTTGGCTGTCTCCAGGACCTTGGCGTCACCACTACGCTCCCTGGTCATGAGCGGCTTGGTGTCTGTACTGAGGCCGCCACTGGTGCTCCCCTCGCTACGTTCCCCCGGGACCCGGTGTCCGACCTGTTCACACTGGACACCGCGCCCCCTCCCGGTTCGGACGCCTCCCCAGGTAGCTGTGTTGTCTCAGGTTGCAGCGGCCTGCTCGGGCCGGTCGCTTACTCACCCAACCCTCCTGTGGCACCACCGTCTAGGTCACCCTGCGCTCCCGCATCTCCGTCACATGTCACAGCACGGTCATGTCCTAGGTCTCCCAGGGTCGTTCCCCGCGTTGCCCCCCTCCACAGCGCCACCGTGCAAGCCCTGCGTCGAGGGTCGGCTCTGTCGTGCCCCTCATTCCTCCTCTTTCCCCCCCACCACCGCACTGCTACAGACCTTGCACATGGACGTTTGGGGCCCCGCCCCCGTCCATGGACCACGTCGCGAGCGCTACTTCCTCTTGCTTGTCGACGACTACACGCGCTACACCACAGTTATTCCCTTCGAGCGGAAGGCCGACGTGCCTGACGTTCTTATCACCTAGCTAGTCTCCGCGCGTATCCGCCGCGGTCTCCCTGTCCTGCGTCTTCACTCTGACCGTGGTGTTGAGTTTGCCTCCAGTGTCCTTGGTCGCTTCTGTCGTGCGGAGGGCATCACCCAGACGTTCACCCCGCCGGACTCGCCATAGCAGAATGGGGTTGCTGAGCGACACATCGGTCTCGTCATTGAGGTCGCTCGTACCTCGATGATCCACACCAGTGCACCCCATTTTCTGAGGCCGTTCGCGGTTCGTGACGCTGCTCACCAGCTTAACCAGTGGCCGCACCCTCAGCGGCCGCAGGTTTCGCCGACCCTTCTTTGGACCGGGTCTCCTGGTGACGCGTCTGCGTTCCACGCCTAGGGCTGCCTTGCTCACGTTCGTGCCTCTGGCACGGACAAGCTTACTGCCCGCACTGTCCCTCGTGTCTTCCTTGGTTTCCCCCTTGACTCGTCCGACTGGCATTTCTAGCACCCGCCGTCCCACCGTTTCTTTCACTCCCGCGACGTTTAACGACCTTTGACGAGTCCGTTTCCTTCTACCACCGCTTTCCACACCGTGGTCCTCCGTTTTCCCTTGTAGTTACACCTCCCCCTCTGTCTGACTTCCTTCGTGCCACTTGTCCTCTTGTTCCTCGAGCCCTTGCCTCTCTCGTTACCGACCCGTCTGTTCCGGTTTCGCGCCTTGACGCTCTTGTCGCTGTGGCCGCTGACTTCGCCTCTACCCGCGGCCTTGAGTACGCCACCGCTCTGGTCTCTGAACCTGCCTGTCCTCCGTCTGTCGGGGGTGCTCCTGCCCTTGGTAGTGACATCTTGGAGGACCGCCAGTACGAGCTTGCCTTCCTGTCCGAGGCTGCTCCCCATCTCTGTTCCATGCTGCTAGTCCCTGAGGGTGACCCAGACGCTTTCGATATCCCGACCCCTCGTACTTACGCTGAGGCGGTCTTGGGCCTCCCAGTGGATAGCTGCCATGGAGCAGGAGATGGCATATTGGAGATCCATCGGTACCTACGTCAACGCAGTTCCCCCACCTCGGGTGAACGTAGACGATGGCCACTTGCTCTTCAAGGTGAAGCGCCCCCCTGGAGAGCCGCCTGTGTTCAAGGCGCACTAGCTGGCCAGAGGTTTCAGTCAGCGTAAGGGGGTGGACTTCTTTCAGACCTTCGCTCCGACCCCGAAGATGACTACTCTTCGGGTGCTGCTACACGTAGCAGCTCAGCGTGACTACGAGCTTCACTCCCTCGACTTCTCCACTGCCTTTCTTCAGGGCAGTCTACACGAGCAGG